GAAATCCATTGTCTCTGTTTTGCTGACCAGACCAGCTGTGACTCGACATCGCTCCATCGGTCAGTGTTGAGTGACCCCGGCTGAGGACCCGGCCCTCCATAGCCAGGCCCTACAGCACCTGGCACTGCCCTGGGACCCGGCCTGCCCCTGCTCAGCCTGGACCCACCAGAGCCCCCCCCCCCATGGCCCAGGGGACCCCCCACCCTCTGTGACAGCTGTGGAGGTGGGGGAGCAGGGCTGTGTTTCCCCCTGGGCCCCCCCATGTGTCTCCTGCCCGGGGTGAGGGGCTGTTCCCTTGCAAACGCCCAGCTATCAAGACAAGAGCTTGTGGTGGTGGCAGCTGTTGCTGGGTGGGTGCGAGCTGGGTGGGCGGGCGGGGGGAGGAGGGGAAAGGGCCTGACCCCCACTCCAGGGGGAGCAGCTGGTCTTTGCAGAGCCCCTGGATTCACCCCACAGCTGCTCACCCCCTGTCCTGCTCTCTGGAGCCCCGTGGGGCAGGCTGTCGGGTCTGGGTTGGGATTTGCTATGGGTCTGTGCTGGGGTGGGACAGGGCAGGGGGATCCCTTCAGGCCTGGGGTCCCTGCAGGGAGCAGCATTTGCTGATGCTGTGGGGCCAAGGAACGACCCGTGTCTGTCTCTGAGAGCGTCACCAGGGGGCGCTCCGTTCACACCCGCAGCAGCACCCGCTCCATAGAGCTGTGAGGGGGAGGGGGAATCCAGCAGGGGAAGTGCAGGATGGGCCGGATTTCTTGGGAAGTGCCTCACCCATGAGGGAGGGGACGTGTCCCACAGACACCCCACCCCACACACACACCCCAGAACCCGCCCGCAGGGAAGCCGGCTGCACAGGGTCCCACTTGGGCAGGGGTGTCTGTATCCGTGACCCGCAGCCTGTCCCTCCGTCTGCACCCCGAGCCTGAGCACCCCCAAACCCTGAGCACCCCCAAACCCCCATCCTCAGCCTGGACCCCTCATTCCACACTAGCCCCATGCCTCTGAGTGAGCGCCCCAGATGGACAGACCCATGCTTGTCTCTAGCATGCAGGGGTGGGGGGCCTGGGAGCCAGGACTCCTGGGTTCTCTCCCTGGCTCTGGGAGGGGAGTGGGGGCTGGTGGGTTAGAGCGGGGGGGCCTAGGTGGCTTTATGGTTTCTGACAAGTCCCTTGCTCTCAGTATCCCCCTCTGTACCGTGGGGTGAGGACACCGACCGGGGCTGCATTTCACTCGCAGTTTACTCCTCTCCAGTGCAGGTGTGGGGCTGGGCCAGGCCCCCGGGTGCCAGCCAGGCTGCAGGCCCGGCGGGTTTCGGGTGGAAAGTCCCTGGCACCGAAATGACGTCCGCCCATGGGACCTGGTGTCTCAGTGACGCACAAACAGGCAGTGACGCTGGGCCAGGGTTAGCGCCTCTGGGGCTCGGCCAGTGGCAGCGCGGCGCCAACCCGGCATCACCGGGCGCTGGGCAGAGTCGGGGCGGGAGGGCCAGGGAGCAGAGTGTGGTGGATGCTGCTGGGGCCGGGGGGGGCTCAGAACCGTCCCGGGGGTGGCGGGGAGTGAAACCAGGTGAGGGGAAAGCAGACGTCAGTCTGTCCGTCTGTCCACCCACAGGCGGAAGGGGTGTGAAACGATGTAGAGCGTTAACCCTTTCTGGGTCGCGGGGCCGGAGAAATGTCTCCACTGGGCTGTGGGCAATTGCACGGGGACTTTCACGCTGACACCGGATTGACGGCCCTGGACTGCCAAGGCCCCATGTCCCGGCCCTGGCCCCGGCCCCGGCCCCCTGAGCCAGCCAGTCCCTGCCCTGAGGCTGGATCAGAGCTCCCAGCCCCCCAAAGGGCAGAGGCCCCTGTGATGAACTGGGACTGTTCTTACTGTGGTCTGTGAATGCTGACAGGGGAGTGTGGCTAAGACAGTCTGCATTGGGGGGTGGGGGACTGCCC